CAAACTTTTTACCTGATAATGAAGCTGATAATGAAGCTTCAACCCTTGCAAAGCTCAGATCCACACTTGAACACCTGTGACAACCCCAAATATATTGCCGTTACAAACCCTATTTTCACTAACGGAATGCGTTAACATACGTTATTTTATGTAATATTTGGAATCGTCAATATCCGAATATCTAATTATATGCATGTCTTAATCTCATCATAAGCAATATAACTCATACGTGTTAACCCAGTTTAACCTAATAGAGTTGTATTACTTTTTCAACCACTTCACCCGGGTAAAAAGTTTTAACCCAGTTAACTTTAAACATCGGGTAGCCGTGTATCGGGTGCGATACCCGAGACATATGAAATGGATGTGCACAACATTTGAATCTTTTACCACACACCCACTTCTCTCTCTACTTTCTCTCTCTAGACTCGAAATCGGCCCCGAATCCGCTAATTTCCGACTTCCAAACGTAAGTACTCATCCTCTATCTTAATCTAGTCATGCTTCATTGAATTTAGGGGCCAAAATCATAGAAATCAAGGACCATAAAGGAGTTTACGGCCTAAGAAGCTCCTTAGGCCGTAAACCCCCAAAATCATGCCAAAGACCTTGTTTTTCCTTCCTTTAAGCTTATGGACTAATTGAGGTATAAACCTAGGGGACTTTGGACACTAAAACACAAAGAATTGGAGCTTAAAAAGGAGTTTACGGCCCAAGCTTGTGCTTAGGCCGTAAACACCTCAAACACCCCAAAAACCCTTGTTTAAAGTCCCAAAAACTCATCTAGGGTGTTTGGCAATTTAGACTTGACAACAAGGAAGGCTTAAATGCATCAAACAACATCATTTCATGGCAAAAAGAGGAGTTTACGGCCAAGGCTAAGCTTGGGCCGTAAACACCCATGTTTTTGTGTCAAACAAGTCCCAAAACCCCTCAAATGCATGTAAGGAATTTAGCTAAGGCCTTTGGAAGTGTGTTGTACCATTTAACTTCACATTTGGATACAAAATGAAGAGTTTACGGCCAAGGATGTTCTTGGGCCGTAAACTCCCCAAAAGTGCATGCCAAATTGTCCCAAAACTCACTATAGGGCCTTCTAGGATTTATCTAAGGTGTATGAGACCATGTTGTACCATTAAAACATACATCTTGAAGGGTTTATTTGAGTTTACGGCCCAAGAACAAGTCTTGGCCGTAAACTCCCCAAAAATGTCACAAATTATGATGTTTAATCCCTTCCTATTAGTCCAAGACACATACCATTAAATTAAGGAAGTGAAATAAGGCCCTAATCATACATTTTGGAGTGTCACAAGAGTTTACGGCCAAGCCTAGGGGGCTTACGGCCGTAAACTCCCAAAGGATGGCCTTTAGGCCATAAACTCCAAGGGAGTGAGCTCATGGACCCTCCCGTAAATCATTCATGACCTTGTACCACTCCCGGGAACCCTTTCTAGGCCTTAAAACCCCGAAAACGATGCTAGAATGTCCAAATACTATAATGAAAAGCATAAGATGATTAACTTCTTGTAAAATACATATTTCATATGACATTAGGGTCCTAGGAGGTGCTCAAGTGGTTATTTGGTACCAAACGCTCAATCGACACTTTTACCCGATTCACCCGATTTCCGCGATTTCAGGTGAGTTCATACCCCTTAAATGAACCTTTCAAATGTTTTATATGTTTTAGGGGGGAGATACAAGTTGAATATACATGTTTATGAAAAGTTATACAAGACTATTTTTCAGATTACAGAATTAATCACATGTGATTCACAACCTGTAGTTCAAATCACATGTGATTTATCACTATGCTTTATAAATAAATCAATTGTTTTCAAAACTATCTTGGATAAACAAACAAGTTTTAAATGTTTCTTTCGTACAACACTTTTGTTTAATAAAACTCCTTATAAGAATGTAACCATACTAATATATTTATATAAGTAAGACTTGAAGGACTTAGGACCGATAGCTCGCCTTATTTCCTGTTTCTTGTTTGATTGTGGGCTTAGGGTAGTGGTTATCCGTCCGACTGTCATTGATTTCTTAGTTATATATCTCGTATATTAGTACGGATTACGAGTACTTCTTATTTCATTAGATGCCTAAATCACTAACCTGATTAGAACTACACACACTAATTTAACTATAATAGGTATAGTTAAGGACTCTATCCCTTGTTTCAACTACTACTCTACACTACTATAATTCTCTCTATTATGAAGCAATACACTAATAAGAGAATACAATACAAGTTATACAAAAGACTACTACACTATAATACAAGAGAATGTACTAATCATGAGATAATTCATTAATCCACTACGAGATACTCTATACGCTACACACTACGCCCGAAGTTTTCCGATAGGAAGACGACACTATATGTATAGATCTATACGGGGCAGACGCTATTACATCCCGACTGATAACTTCAGTCCGAGCCGCTCAGGCCCAGGGATGCCTTTACTCTACCACACTATGCATGACTGGGAAGGTCATGAGGGTCCGCTATTACTCACACTATTGGTAACATACAAGAAAGACACTATAACCGCACTAAAATACTAAAAGAAAGATGAAGTAATATCCCGAAGTAAATAAGTATCTAATACTAAAGGATGCTGCACCACTATTATGTACTCCAAGAATAACTCACTATATTGCCTTACTTAATGGTGAGTCACTATTACACTTCTATGATAAATGGCTTTCAAAGATAGAAACAACATATTTCTTAAAGATTTTCATTTACTATACAGTTCTGGAAATACAGGATTTTCTAGGTTTTACCACTACTTATGATTACAAACTTCAGTTTTCATACTAATGATTCTAATGCTTTTTATACAAGTACTCACACTAAACTCTTATGAACTCACCAGCTTTATGCTGATATTCTTTTCAAAATAACTTGTATCTTCAGGTCAAAGATAGACAGGTACAGCTGCAGCATTTTTGGAGGATGGAGTATGCAAGACCCATCTCTTATTTTTGTTTACTTTTGGTGTTTGTCAAACATTACAAAACACACTTGTAAATACACTTACTATGTAAATGAAATGGTTGTATGTTTCTTGCTTTTACTATTATACAATTGTGATGATACTGTACACTACGTCATCCACCCCGAAACGTATTCCGCCGTTATCGGTTTTGGGGTGTGACAGATTGGTATCAGAGCATTGTTTATAGTGAATCAAGTATATCAACCTATAAAAGATATACGAACTATAAACACTTCGGGACTAAAACACTCTGACCAAGAATATATACTGTTAAGTATCTAAAAGATTTAACTAAGTATATATATACACACATCACTATAAAACACAGAAGTCAGTATCATCCTAGAACAAAACAAAAGTATTAAGATTGTTGGATAGCACAATTGGGTTTAGAGACATATAGTCACATTTAGGGGGATGTAGCCTGATCAACTACGTTTTCCTGGGAGTGACTAGCATGTGCCTAAGCTTGGTTGTGGTGTTACAACAAGTCTAAAACTTACCAACACTACCACAATAACGTTAACATTAGAATACTATAGGAGTATTCTGTACCTCTAAAAACATACATCTGTGAAACTAAAAAGGGTCGTTACTGATGGAGCAATAGTTGCTAAATGGATACTTTCCGGTTACATGTGACTAGGGCGTTATAGACTTAGAATCTGTGATCTTTGCTTTACTTCCTGTTCCTTGTTTGGTTGTGGATTTAGAGTTAGGGTCACTTATTCGACGGACTATCCTGCCCCAATCACATGTAATTAGTATGCATTATGCAAGTATTGGTCCACTCGTGACGACCATCTTATAAATAATTTAGGTTAGTACGCCTATTAATTCTTCTTTTCCCCTTTTTCTCGCATAGATACCATGGCTGGCTTCCACCCTCCTGGCGACCCGTACTACCCAAACCAGGGTAATGGGGGATGGCTCAGTGAAGAGTCGGACGATGATCACCCAATCCCTTTGGATGACCACCGAGCAGAAGGCTTTCCGGATAACTCCGACTCCGAGCCAGAAGTTAATAACCTACCTCCCGGAGTTCCGAACCCCAACCCCCGTCCGACATTTCAGGGCCCCACTCCTATGTGGGCCATATCCTTGCACAGATGGAGCGAAGAGCAGGGTCAGCCCATGCCATACAATGGAGACCGAAGTTTCTACAACATAAACGAAGGAGGATCAGCAGATCAGGTTCTGCCCATCATGATCCGAAGAATTGCCAG